TGCCTAAGTGGTGTATCTTGCATTTCTCCCTATTGAACCTCATTGTGTTAGTTTTGGCCAATCATCTCTCTTTACCTGTTAAGATTGTTTTGAATTCTTCTCCTGTCTTCTGGAGTATTGGCTCTCCCTCCCAATTTGATCCCGTTTGCAAACTAGATGATCATGCCTTCTAACCCTTCAACCTAAGTCATTAATAAAGATGTTGAACAGAACCGTGCCCAGGATGGAACCCTGCTTATGGCACTCAACTAGTCACTTCTTTCAAGGGTGAAGAGGGAGCATTGGTGAGCACCCTTTGGGTTCATTCTCTTAACCAATTACAGATCCACCACACCGTGGTTTTGCCTAGCCCACACTGGACTAGTTTCATTGCCAGAAGGTCATGGGGGAGCTTGCCAAAGGAAGGCCTTGCTGAAATCAAGATATGCTACATCCATAGTGTACATCCATCCCTACATATACCCAGATCACTTAAGTGCCAAATGGATGAGGTGTAATGTCCTCACTAACAAAAGTTAAATGTGCTATTTGCATTTTATCTGTTCCTCCCTATTATCATAGTTAAAAGAGAAGGGTAAGAGAAATCACAAGTAGTTATTGACATAGAAATAACTACTTGTACATATGAATGGTTGACATCTGAGGAATGCTGCTCTGACGACTAAAGTGCAGTGAACTGGGACATTTTTTATCATACAGAGGTTGGGTTCTCTTCAGAAGTCACACCTTTGGGCAGGTAGTTGTTGGTATGCAAAGTAGCCTATAGAAACCATACTACAAAATTCTGAAAAGCAGGATGAAAGACTCCCCTTTAAAGAACAGCAAAGAGCCTGTAGAACAGTAGTTCTCAGTCTTCCTAATGTCGTGACCCCTTAATACAGTTCCTCATATTGTGCTGACCCCCAACCATAACATTATTATCGTTGCTACTTCACAATTGTAATTTTGCTACTGTTATGAATCGTAATGAAAATATCTGATATCCAGGATGTATTTTCATTCACTGGACCAAATTTGGCACAAATACCCCATACACCCAAATTTGAATACTGGTGGGGTTTGGAACAGGGTGGGATTGATTTTGTCATTTGGGATTTGTAGTTAACCTACAATCAAAGAGCATTCTGAATTCCACCAATGATGGAATTGAACCAAACTTGACACACAGAACTCCCATGACCATCAGAAAATACTGGAAGGGTTTGGTGGGCATTGACCTTGAGTTTTGGAGTTATACCTACATCCAGAGAACACTGTGGACTCAAACCATGATGGATCTGGACCAAACTTGACACAAATACCTAATATGCCCAAATGTGAACACTGGTGGAGTTTGGGGAAAATACACACTGACATTTGGGAGTTGCTGGGATTTATAGTTCATCTACAATCAAAGAGCATTCTGAATCCCACCAATGATAGGATTGGGCCAAACTTCCCATACAGAACCCCTATGATCAACAAAAAATACTGTGTTTTCTGATGGTCTTTGGCGAGCCCTCTAATACCTCCAGGGGTCCCAATCCCCAGATTGAGAAACACTGCTGTAGAACCTGGTTTGAAGATATATACATGCATTTCTTCACTCTATCATGCATCACAAGAAAAGATAGCTAAAGAATCAGAACAGAATAACCACTGGGGCAAAGAAGGGAACCAAAGTGCAACGCTTGACCTATAAACTCCCCCAAAGGACATATGGTGGACTAGATGTCCACCATAGATGGACATCTAGTCCACCATATGATCCAGAAAGACTGCTAGTATACTCGTCTGAATGGCAAAACAACAACAATGTAATGTTTGTTACAGTTCCCTATCCCTTTTCAAACTAACTGGATACAAATTGCATATATAAAAACAGAAAGTGTTTGTTACACTTCCTGTTCCCTTCTCAAACTAATTGGACACAAGTTGTGTACATGAAAACACACAGAGGCTTGAATCCAGTTGTAGTTCCCAACTAGAATAGGCCCATGGGATCATGAATATTGAATCACCATTGATTAAATGGGTTTACTCTACTCAGGACTAACTGAGCCCAAAATTCGTCTGGAAGTATTTTAATCTCAAGGAAAGAGTAGCAGCAATGCTGGAATCACTGTATTCAATCACAAGGAGAGTATTTTGAAAGGGATAGACTTTGCATGTTCAATATGAAATCATTCTCATTAATTTTGGGATAGACCACATATACATATAGACATGTACATATTTAACATATTTATTATGCCTGTATACATGTGTGTGATATAACTAGCACAAATCTATGCTACATATGTGTGTATGTGTACAGTAATGTTATATGTGTGTATGTGTTTACACACATTTGTGCGTAAACATATACACACATGAATATATATACACACATATAACATTATTTGTAACATACACATTTATACATATGATGATGACACAAATATCATACTCACACATGTATAAATATCTGTGGATGTGACAAATAGTGTTATATCTGGATATATCTGTATACATGTGTACACACATACATTTAATTTGTGACATACATATATATTTATACATGTGTGCATGACACACATACATTTATACACATGTATTACATTATTTGTGACATACATATAGTTAGCCATGTGTATTAATGTCATATATGTATAAATATCATATATTATATGTTATATATGAATATATGTGTAGACATGTGTTCACACATACTTATAATTTGTGATATGCACATATATTTATACGTGTGTGACACACATGCATACACATGTATAACATTTCTGACATACAGATATTTACACATGCATGACATATTGTATACACAGTATGTATATATATATATACGTATGTATATATATACGTATATATATATAGATATTTACATGTGTGTATACACATCCCTATATAATATTCATGACATACACATATATTTTAAACATGTATGACATATTGCACATGTATAAATATATGTGTATGTCACAAATAACATTATATTTGTGTGTGTGTGTGTGTGCGTGTGTTATATATACTTACATGTCTGTGTGTACACATCCATATAAATAATATTCATGATATACACATATATTTTTAACATGGTAAATCACACATGTATAAATATCAGTATATGTCACAAATAATGTTATATATGTGTGTTATATATACTTACATGTGTGTATACACATCCATATATATAATACTCATGACATACACATATATTTAGACATGTATAACATATCATACACAAATATCAGTATATGTCACTGATCATTTTATATATGTGTGTCTATATATCTATATTGATGTTTGTATATATACACACATAAATATATTTATACATGTCTGTATGATATATCATACACACATGTATAAATATCTGTGCATGTCACAGATGTTATATATATGTGTATATATATACATATATATATATATTTCTGTATAACATATCATACACAAAGATCAGAATATGTCACTGATCATTTTATATATGTGTGTCTATATATATGTGTGTGTCTATATATATATGTATACACACACATGAATATATTTATACATGTCTGTATATCATACACATATGTATAAATATCTGTGGATGTCACAGATGTTATATATGTGTGTATATATATACATGTGTGTACATACACATACATATATATTATGTTTGTGTATAGACACATGTCTGTATGTCATATCATACACATATGTATAAATATCTGTGCATGTCACAGATAAAATATCTGTGCATGTCACAGATAATGTTACATATGTGTATATATATATGTGTGTGTTTACATACACATATATTATGTTTGTGTATAGACACACATCTGTATGTCATATCATACACATATGTATAAATATCTGTGAATGTCAGATATGCACAGATACACAAACATATTTATACATGTCTGTATGATATATCATACACATATGTATAAATATTTGTGCATGTCACAGATAATGTTACAAATGTGTATATACTGTACATACACATATATTATGTTTGTGTATAGACACACACATCTGTATGTCATATCATACACATATGTATAAATATCTGTGCATGTCACAGATATGCACAGATACACAAACATATTTATACATGTCTGTGTGATTATTTATTTATTTAGCAGTTTTGTATACCGGTCTTCTCCCCTCTATCGGGGGACTCGGGCCGGTTTCCAACAATAAAATCACAAAACAATCTTTAGAAACATCATATAACATATTCAATTAAAACGTTATAACAGCAAAATGCAATCACATAACAATGGTCAGTCGTCATAGTGAATTCGTTGTCCATCATTCACCATCATCTATCCGATCACAGAAATACCGATGCACTCGTCGAAAGCCAAACCCCATAACCAGGTTTTCACCCATTTTGTGAATGACAGAATGGAGGGGGCAGTTCTGATCTCCAGTGGAGGGGCCACCACCGAGAAGGCCCTGTCCCTCATCCCCACCAGATGCGCCTGAGAGGCCGGTGGGACCGAGAGCAGGGCCCCTCCAGACGATCTTAACAACCTAGACGGGTTTTTTTGGGGTTCATATATCATACACATATGTATAAATATTTGTGCATGTCACAGATGTTACTTATGTGTATATATATATTTACATGTGTGTGCATACATATATATTATGTTTGTGTATAGACACACGTCTGTATGTCATATCATACACATATGTATAAATATCTGTACATGTCACAGATAATGTTATAGATGTGTATGTGTGTGTATATATATTGGCATGTGTGTACATACACATACATATACATATATATTTGTGGCATACACATATCATACACATATGTATAAATAATATATGTGTATGTCACAAAGAGAGAGAGAGAAGATAAGGGCCAATATTGGACCTCCAGGGGTTTGGGACTCCAACTCCCACAATTCCTAACAGCCTACCGGCTGTTAGGAATTGTGGGAGTTGGAGTCCAAACCCCTGGAGGCCTAGTTTGGCCATGCTTGCTCTATAGGCACAGGCCACAAGGTATATATAGTCACCTGAGGGTCGCAGGTGCCTCCAGGAGCCTGAAGCGTGGGAAGAGGAGTCCTGCTCACCTCTCAGGGCCAGGGCGCATGCGCAGAGCGGGGCACAGGTGGGCCCTTCAGCTCTTCAGCCTTTCCGCGGGGCGGGCCTTCTCCTCACCTGCCCCGGGGCCCGGCCGCCCTTGGAGCCTCCTCGGAGCCACCTTCCACGCCGAGGACGAGGAGGAAGGGGACGGGGCCGAGCCGAGGCTGAGGGGAACAACGCTCCGAGGCGCCCGAGGAGGGCAGCGGCGACGACGAGGGGAGACACTGAAGGACAAGCCGGGCCCCCAATCCCCGAAAGGCTCCTGCCGGGCATTGACCAATCGGAGCGAGGCGGAGGCGGGGATATGCAAATCTTTGGTCGGAATGCGCAGCAGCCTCGAGACGGGGCAGGGAGCGAGGAGCGCGCATGCGCATTCCTACCCGCAGGTGTCCGTTGGAAGCAGCACCTCAGCCTGAGGAGAATTGGAGGGGCGGGAAATTAAAGGGAAACTCTACGAAAAAGGGGGGTCTGGGAAATTAAATGGTGGTTTAATAGGGGAAATCGACATAATGGACCCATAACGCCATATTAGGATGTATAAAAACCGAAGACAAGGGCTGTCAGAAGGAACAGAGAGTTTCATCTATGCTGACGATCGTGCCATCACTGCTCAGGCAGGGAGCTTTGAAATAGTTGAATGGAAGCTCTCCGAAGTTTGTTCCATCAATGTTCAATACGTACACAAATTATCAGCCACTGCCAGAAGGGACAGAGAGTTTCATCTATGCTGACGATCGTGCCATCTCCACTCATGCAGAGTGCTTTGAAATGGTTGCTTCCTCCATCAATGTTCAACATTTACACAAATGACCAGAAGGGACAGAAAGTTTCATCTATGCCGACGATTGTGCCATCACCGCTCAAGCAGAGAGCTTTGAAATGGTTGAACAGAAGCTCTCCAAAGCTTGCTCCAGCAATGTTCAACATTGACACAAATGATCAGCCACTGCCAGAAGGGACAGAGAGTTTTATCTATGCCGACGATCGTGCCGTCACCGCTCAAGCAGACAGCTTTGAAATGGTTGAACAGGAGCTCTCCGAAGCTTCCTCCATCAATGTTCAATATATATAGAACTAATCAGCCACTGCCAGAAGGGACACAGAGTTTCATCTATGCCGACGATCGTGCCATCTCCGCTCATGCAGAGCGCTTTGAAATGGTTGAACCTAAGCTCTCCAAAGCTTGCTCTATCAATGTTCAATATGTATTGTCGAAGGCTTTCATGGCCGGAATCACTGGGTACAGAAATTATCAGCCACTGCCAGAAAGGAGAGAGAGTTTCATCTATGCCAACGATCATGCCATCACTGCTCGAGCAGGGACCTTTGAAATGGTTGAACGGAAGCTCTCCGAAGCTTCCTCCATCAATCTTCAATATGTATAGAACTTATCAGCTACTGCCAGAAGGGACAGAGAGTTTCATCTATGCCGACGATTGTGCCATCACCGCTCAAGCAGAGAGCTTTGAAATGGTTGAACAGAAGCTCTCCAAAGCTTGCTCCAGCAATGTTCAACATTGACACAAATGATCAGCCACTGCCAGAAGGGACAGAGAGTTTCATCTATGCTGACTATCGTGCCATCACTGCTCAAGCAGAGAGCTTTTAAATGGTTGAACGGAAGCTCTCCTAAGCTTGTTCTATCAATGTTCAATATGTATAGAACTTAGGACAGAGAGTTTCATCTATACCGACGATCGTGCCATCACCACTCAGGCAGAGAGCTTTGAAATGATTGAACAGAAGCTCTCCAAAGCTTGTTCCATCAATATTCAATATGTATAGAACTTATCAGCCACTGCCAGAAGAGACAGAGAGTTTCATCTATGCCGACGATCGTGCCATCACCGCTCAAGCAGAGAGCTTTCAAATGGTTGAACGGAAGCTCCCCGAAGCTTGCTCCATCAATGTTCAACATTTACACAAATGATCAGCCACTGCCAGAAGGGACAGAGAGTTTCATCTATGCCGACGATCGTGCCATCACTGCTCAAACAGGGAGCTTTGAAATGGTTGAACAGAAGCTCTCCAAAGCTTGCTCCGGCTATGTTGAACATTGACACAAACGACCAGCCACTGCCAGAAGGGACAGGGAGCTTTGAAATAGTTGAACGGAAGCTCTCCGAAGCTTGCTCCATCAATGTTCAATATGTATAGAAATTATCAGCCACTGCCAGAAGGGACAGAGAGTTTCACCTATGCCAACGATCGTGCTATCACTGCTCAAGCAGAGCGCTTTGAAATGGTTGAACAGAAGCTCTCCAAAGCTTGCTCCATCAATGTTCAATATGTATAGAAATTATCAGCCACTGCCAGAAGGGACACAGAGTTTCATCTATGCCAACGATCGTGCCATCACCGCTCAAGCAGGGAGCTTTGAAATTGTTGAACAGAAGCTGGAGCCCCCGGTGGCGCAGTGGGTTAAAGCCTGTGCTGGCAGGACTGAAGACCGACAGGTCGCAGGTTTGAATCCCAGGAGAGGCGGGTGAGCTCCCTCTATTGGCTCCAGCTCCTCATGCGGGGACATGAGAGAAGCCTCCCACAAGGATGATAAAACATCAGAAATCATCCGGGCGTCCCCTGGGCAACGTCCTTGCAGACGGCCAATTCTCTCACAACAGGAGCAGTCGCTCCTGACACAACAAAAAACAAAACAAAATGGAAGCTTTCCGAAGTTTGTTCCATCAATGTTCAATATGTATAGAAATTATCAGCCACTGCCAGAAGGGGCAGAGAGTTTCATCTATGCCGATGATCGTGCCATCACCGCTCAAGCAGAGAGCTTTGAAATGTTTGAACAGAAGCTCTCCAAAGCTTGCTCCGGCTATGTTCAACATTGACACAATTGACCAGCCACTGCCAGAAGGGACAGAGAGTTTTGTCTATGCTGATGATCGTGCCATTACCGCTCAAGCAGAGAGCTTTGAAATGGTTGAATGGAAGCTCTCCAAAGCTTGCTCCATCAATGTTCAATATGTATAGAAATTATCAGCCACTGCCAGAAGGGACAGAGAGTTTCATCTATGCCGACGATCGTGGCATCACCTCTCAAGCAGGGAGCTTTGAAATGGTTGAACGGAAGCTCACCAAAGCTTTAGGTACTCTTACTGTCTATTTTTTTAAATATAATTTTTATTGAATGCTTTTCCGACTTTTACAAATAAAATATATCATTTAAAATATTACTCCATAATAATAATAATAATAGTAATAGTAATAATAATAATAATAATAATAATAATAATAATAATAGAAGAACGGCCTGCCTCAGGGGAGTGTGCTTGCTCCACCAATCTTTAACATTTATACAAATGATCAGCCACTGCCAAAAGGGACAGAGAGTTTCATCTATGCCAACGATCGTGCCATCACTGCTCAAGCAGGGAGCTTTGAGATGGTCAAACAGAAACTCTCCAAAGCTTTAGGTACTCTTGCTGCCTATTTTTTTCAATATAATTTTATTGAATGCTTTTTGACTTTTACAAATAAAAAATATTATTTAAAAATATTACTCCATAATAATAGGAGAAGAAGAATGGCCTGCCTCAGGGGAGTGTGGTTGCTCCATCAATGTTTAACATTTGCACAAATGAAAAGCCACTGCCAGAAGGGACAGAGAGTTTCATCTATGCCGACGATCATGCCATTACCGCTCAAGCAGAGATCTTTGAAATGGTCAAATAGACGCTCTCAGAAACTTTAGGTACTCTTTCTGCCTATCACAGGGAAAACCAGCAGATTCCTTATCCATCTAGAATGCAGACATGTGCATTTCATAACAAATATTTAATTCCGTTATACAGTTAATATTTTGTAATATTGTAATAGCCAGTATAATATTGGAGGAGGCGTGGTTTTAAAAGGAAATTTTCAGATATGTTCCCAATGCCCATATGTCCTGATTTACTGAAGGCCTTTGTATACAGAAAATGCTGATTGTTTGAGGAAATGTTGCTGCAGAGAGGAAGTTACTACTCAAGGATAACAGTACATCCAGACAAAACCGGATAACAGTACATACGGATGACCACCTCACCCACTTCATAAGAAATTTGCTACCAAACAGGAGCTTTTTTGCTGAGTTCCAGCATCAGAGAAGCAGATGGTGAAAACAGAAGACCGGCCTGCCTCAGAAGAGCATGATTGCTCCATCCATGTTTAACATTTACACAAATTATCAGCCACTGCCAGAAGGGACAGAGAGTTTCATCTATGCTGATGACCATGTCATCACCACTCTAGCAAGGAGCTTTGAAATGGTGGAACAGAAGCTCTCCGAAGCTTTAAGTGCTCTTACTGCCTATCATAGGGAAAACCAGCTGATTCCTAATCCATCTAAAATGCAGATGTACGTTTTCCATCCTAAGAACCAAGAAGCACCTCGAGCTCTTGAGTATTATTTGGGAAGGAATTCCACTGGAGCATTGCAGCAAACCCAAATACCTGGGAGTCACTCTGGACCATGCTCTGACTTACAAAAAGCACTACTTGAATATCAAGCAAAAAGTCGGCGCTAGAAATAATATCGTATGAAAGCTAATGGGCACAACCTGGGGAGCACAACCAGACACAGTGAAGACATTTGCCCTTGCTCTTTGCTACTCTGCTGCTGAGTACGCATGCCCACTGTGGAATACATCTCCACACATTAAAACAATGAGACATGCCACATTATCACAGGATGTCTACACCCTACACTCCTGGAGAAATTATACTGTTTCGCCAGTATCGCATCACCTGACATCTGTTGGGAAATAGCAGCCTCCTCCACTTTATGGGACTATGGAGCAGAACAGACAAACTCCGCATCTGTATGCTTGTCCGCAGTGTCCTGCCTCATGTACAGAAGAAGAATTGTTGGACTCTACAGACAATGCGGTTGCTGTTGCACGTTTTTGGTCAAAAGATATTTAGCCACTTGTGCTCCTTCTGTTTTTATCAGTTTTATACTAATTTATGCAATGCTTTTGACACAAAATAAATAAATAAAATTTCAGAGGAGACATCTCAGAGCAGATAGAAAAGCAGATAGATAGACAGACAGACATGGCCATACAGCCCGGAAAACTCACAGCAACTTAGTGATTCCGGCCATGAAAGCATTCGACAACGGATATAGAGATAGGAAGATAGATCCGATGGTATGTTCAAGTATATAGCTGTTGGTCATAAACAGATGGAAAACATATTCCTCCACAAGGATTGCTGGAAAGGACTTCTAGATCCTGGAATATAAAGGCAGATAACCCACAAT